CTAATTTTATCACTGCTTAGGTGCTTCAGAATAGAATTTTGAAACTGTTATTTAATTATGTTAAAACATATTGTAGTTTTGATACCCAAATATTATACAAAATAAAACGCAAAAATGTCCTGCAATTATCAAGATGGCTACCGACGTACAGAGTCGCGCTTTTATTATAGGATGATCCTCTAAAAGCTTTACTCTTTACTTATACTTTTAAAATATTATATTGTTATGTACACAGGATGTTCATATTTTCGTGAGCAAGCAACAACTTTCTTATTTTAACTAGAACACGCTGTATATTAATGCATTTTTTGGATTTCTTGGAAGTTTCCGTACCTAAGTCCTTTTTTCCTTGACTGATTTATTTTTGTATCTATATTTATTAAAATATATTTCTATACATATATGTATATGTATTTATTAAAAATCTAATTGAAAATATTTTTAATTTTTTTTTAATGAAAACACCCCATTTTTATTTATTTTTTATTTATCGTAAGAGTCCCTACCCAAAAAAGATGTGGATTTGCGCGAATGAAACATTTTCTCTTGTAAAAATGACTTGCACTACAATATATTTAGGTATTCTTATAAATAATGGCAAATATTCTCGAGGTCAGAGCTGGTTAGAACTGTTTAGAGAATTTTTAGTTCAAAAACAACATTTCACATGCACATAACTTCAAATTTTTTAAAATTTGGGAAATATAAGTTGAATTTCCAGTTACAAATAAAAATGATTTTTAGCCTTATCATCCAATACCAAAAGTAATATTTAAACCTTCAGGTCGTAAAATAACAATCTACTTCAACTAACGACTTTATCATTACTATGCTGATAAGAATAGGATTTAATATATCGAATGCTCGATCATTTTGTTGGCTACAAATATGTATGCCTTTGTAATATTTTAGTTTAAATTTATTTCATATTATGTTTAGTAGTAGTAGTAGCAAAAATAGTGTCCCAACATTCTTAAGACAAGGTTATCTAAATGTGTTCCAAGTTTCAAGCCAGGCTATTTTAATCCTCAGATTTAAACGAACCAGCGAAATAAAATACCACCATTATTGTTTAATTCTCAAAGACTCGTATCAAGAAGTCTTCTATCCACTGTTTGCTGCCTATAACCAATGCTCGATTTATTTTTGTTAGTCTCGAAAACACATTACAAAGTTGTTATTAAAATCGTCTCGTATAAAAGTCATTCCGGTTCCCAAACCTACGTCCGTCTCAAGCGACTGTATATTAGGGTCGTCGGATTCAGTGGGAATATTAAATTTGGATCGGTGTTTGAACTTTACGATGTATTCAATGCTTCATAAAATTGCCACAGATGTGATGACAATATTTGTATTTAGGCAAGGGGTGTTGTCTAAATGTGAAGAGTTACTATGGTAACCATGTAAAGGAAAAATATTTTTCGACATCAGCAAAGCACCGTAGTAGTCGAATTATGTAACTTCTGGGAATCAATACACCAATACATGTATAGTATAATTACTTTAATTTCATACGAAATATATCTACAAACAATTCTTAATACTTTTTAAGCTAATTACACTAACATTTTTGAAGAATGCCCGGAAAGATTTCACCAAACTGTTCCTGCTAGTGTATTACGAAACTGAATTTTTGGAAAAACTGGGGATTCTATAAAACCACATTTTTAATATCAACGTTATTTTAAGAAGAAATTTCTAAATTTTTTTCCTCAGGGAGACTGTGATGAAGAACTAAAAGTGAAAAACTTAACATTCCGTGGTCACATTAACATAATTGTACCACCGTGGTTGTTGTGGTTCTAAAAACTTCAGTATTATATATTTTCGGAAAACCAACTCGTTTTGAAAACTCCATAGCATCAAAATTGAAGTCACAAGTTTCAAAGTAATCGCTACAAAATATAGCTTTTAGTTTTCTGCAAATTGTCTGCAAGAAATGCACACCACACCTGACGTGAATACAAGAATAAGTAGTATTATGCACAAATATTACACGACATAATAAAATAAATGCGTCCAATACATATATAGTGAATAAATACATGATTTTATGCATATATGATTCAATAATAAACTATCGCTTGCTTTTTTTTCTAATTTTGTATATTAGTTACTAATTAAACGTAACGTAAAGTAAGCGAAAAGTATACCACCGGTTCCTGTATTAGTTTCACCTATTAAATCGTTAAATTGATTCTGTAATAAGCACGATACGAAGATGTAGGCATACTACTGCTCTTATTAATCTCAGTTTAAGTAGTTTATATTTTATTAAAAATTAATCTCTGTTTTTAAATAAGAAATGAGATCGCGGGCTATCATTTTGAAACAATTTTTATTTCCCCGGCGCAGAAGTTACGTATTGCAACAAATTAATAAATTTAGTTCAGTGAGCAATCGAAATTGATACCATTTGGGTAGACGTTTCCATCCCCATGATAAATCGATTTTTGTTGACCGCCGTTAAATTGGAATTGTTGTTCAATCGCTTCAAATTCGGACTGCGAGTTACCTATCGGACACTTAATAGATTAGCAACTTACATTTTCGGTACAAAAATTTTATTTTTACTACAGTTTATTGTCTGTAACTTTACCAAAATAATTTTCACGAGATATAACAATTTTTTTGTCAAATAGATTCGTTGAAGTTTGACACATTTATTTTAATGGCATAGTATCAAAACCATTTCAATTTAATTTTTTTTAAATGGCCTAAAAAACGCACCTTCAAAAATATTAAAGCAAATATTATAACAACAGCAACAGACAAATAGTATATTATTCAATAAGTGCGGTAAACGGCATTTTACTCACGAGTTTATTTGACACTAGCGGTGCGAGTTTTTTTATAAACGAGTGAATTAAAAAGTTTACCGAACGTGTTGCATACTATACTTTTTCTACGACAGTTAGATTTTGGGTGCATTTTCGTAAAACAACACAAATACATTCACTGACATGACCGTCAGAATTGACATATGTCAAAATTCAAAGCGTGGAAAATATCTCCGAAAACATCCGATTGCTCCCAAATCCGTGCGGTAAATTCCCGGAAATGTCCGAAGTGGCTCTGATCTGTGGAAAATAAAATTGACGTGGTAAAGTGACGCTTCCCGCACGCAAGATCGGTAGGTAATTACGTATTTTACAGACGGGAGTAGAAAAATGAAATTTACTGTTACTTTGTGTATCAAATAAGGCACAATACACCCTAAGAAAGTTTTAATATAGAGTCCGTATTAAAAAATGCCTTACTGTTGTATTACCTCTTATTAAGTTAAACAATATTTAGTCTAAGTGAATAAATTTAAACAAAGGAAAAATAAAATTTAATGTTTAGATTTTGTACCATATACTAAAAAATAAAACCTAGGTACTTAGCTTTTATCCCTTCTGTTTCGTTGTAACAAGAAAACCTTATTGCATTACCTATTGAAAAAAGGAATAGTAGTCACGAAGCTTATTCTTATAGTTTTTCTAAAATTAATCAAAAATTCTATACTACTTTGTTAAATTTAGTGTTTTTCTCTTTTTTCCAACCTCCGTAAGTTTGTTTATTTGACACACTGTAAAATACCTAATTACCCACCGATCTAGCGTGCGGGAAACGTCACTTTACACGTCAGTTTCCTTTCCCACGAATCCGAGCCACTCAGACATTTCCGGGATTTTACCGCACGAATTTGGGAGCAATCGGATGTTTTCGGAGATATTTTCCACGCTTTGAATTTTGACGTTTGCCAATTCTGACGATTATGTCAGTGAATGTATTCGTGTTTTACGAAAATCCAAAAACTAACGGTCGTAGAAAAAGTATAGTATGCAACACGTTCGGTAAACTTTTTAACTCACTCGGTTATTAAACACTCGCTCCGCTCGTGTCAAATAAATTCGTGAGTCAAATGCCGTTTACCGCACTTGTTGCATAATATACTATTTTATTCACATTTTTTACAACAAGCTATTGTGCCTTTGACATTAACATATATATATATATATATATATATATATATATATATATATATATATATATATATATATATATATATATATATATATATATATATATATATATATATATATATATATATATATATATATATATATATATATATATATATATATATATATATATATATATATATACATATATTATGCCCAAATTGAGGTAAACGGCATTTGAGTCACGAGTTTATTTGGCACGAGCGGAGTGCAGCGGAAGGCAGCGGAGCGAGTGTTTAATAAACGAATGACTTAAAAGGTTTGGCAAACGTATATTATACTCTTGCTATGACATGCCGTGCCGTAATATTCCGGAAATGTCCTAAGTGGTTCGGAGTCGCTAGATCGGTGTGTAATTATGTATTTTACAGAAGGGATTAGAAAAATAAAGTTAAAGTTAAGGAACTGATTTTTTGTTTGTTTGGATGGTCATCGAAAATACAGAAATTTTAAGATTCAAAAAAAGAATAAAAAATAAATTTAGAAAAAATTATGCAATTTTAAATTAACTGAATAATTTTAACAGCTTTTGTATATAACATTTTCTCACAACTTTTGAAACCAATGAGATAATGTATGAACTTCACTCTATCGCTGACTCACCCTGTACACATTTTGATAAAATTTTCTCTAGAGGAGCATTAAAATTGAAGATTTGTCGGATTTATATATCGCAGATAAAAGTGGTCACTTTCTATGTGGGTCGGTTAGTTTTGTATTCGGCTCGCTGAAATGTAGAGTCTATTATTTCGACTAACTACTGTTTAAATACCCAATTCACTCACGGTTCCTTCGGTACCCGCGGGTGTTTATATTATTACGTTTAATGATGGGGTATTTATGACATTGATATTTTAAAATACCGTAGTTAGTATTCACAGCCCACGCTCTTACAAGGAGACTTATTTATATATGGGAGAATGGTATAATTAAATTTTTGACGATAAAATCGAACGTGTAAATAATACGTTTGAACAGTCTTTCAATTTTATTCTCAGTGCTACGTCAGGCAATAACCACACCACCCTACACTGAAATCCTCACTTATCTTGAAATTATTTATTCTGGCGAGAAAGAGATTCAATAACATTGTATTATCAACTTAAGCCAAACAAAGGACAATGCAGTAAAAATTAAAAGATAGGTACGTTTATGTGGGTTATCAACGCAGAAGGGAACAGTCTAGTGAAGTGTTGTTTGAAGTGGACTGGGAGAGGTTAAAAACCGTGACTGTGAGTTGAGTGATCATAAATTTCTATATTAAAATTTATTTAAATTTGTCGCTAATACACCTACCACATTTCGGCGCTACAGAATTAATTTTGCCACTAAATCTCATTGCTTAATGTCCAAAAAGGAAGCCTTAATGGCACATTAAAAAATACGGCTTATCGCGACGGTACTCGTGATAATTCTCGGCGTATTACAAAATGGTCTCCATAAAAAATGTGCACTTAAACGATGCATTTTGATTTGCGTTTGTTCAAATAAAACCAAATGAACTCAAAAGAGCCAAATAAAAATAAAGAGTTCTCCTTATAAAAAGTTATAGGCACCTGAAAAATACGCATATGTGTTCTGTAATATTTAATTATTTTGTATACATATTTTAACATTTACTTAGGAACATTTTATATAAATATTTAAGAACTACCTTTAATGTTTCAAATCAACGGTCATTTTATTTCGAGTTTTTTTAGTATGGCTTGTATTTTCACCATTTCTTCGAGAGGGACATCTTCCCCATGATACATAAAAAATTCTCTAGCAGCTTAACAGCTTCTCGAATGGCTTCTTCTTCTTCCTCGCTCTTTCTTGCTTGTTGTAACGTGGCTCTGTCAAGTCTGCTGTTGTATGCAAATCCTAATCTATCACCATAAAATCTTGCAACTCCTCACTTGTAAACCTAATTCTTGTTTGAAACTGCTTTATCCATTCGCTTAGTGGCTGATCATCTTCAAAGTCCTGTTCGCATTCGGTCTCGGGAAGTCCTGCATAACGATAGGAGTGTTGAATTGTTTCTGCTGTCACCTCTTTCCAAGCTTTACTAATAAAGTTGGCTGCATCTAGCATATTAATGGAAAATTTTTCTTATTACTTCATCACGTCCATTAAAATGTTTTTCCTGTATCGACTCTTTTTATTAAGCTCTGGTCTTTCGGCTGTAATACGCTTGTTGTTTTGGCTGGAAGAAATGCCAATTCGATATTCCGTAGATTTGGGCAGTTATGTAAGAGAAGTAATATTTTCCTCGCCTGCATCTCATTTCCTTATTTTCTCTTCAGAAATTTGCGATGTCATCCATGCAGACTTGTTTGCCTTGTAAGTGACCGGTAAATGCTTGATGTTCTTGAAACATCGTGGGTTAGTTGATTTTCCAATCACGACTAACTTTCTTTTTTCTCTCCCACTCACATTGGTAGCTACTAACACAGCATTAAAAATGTCTTCAGCAGGGTACTTTTCTGCTAGTTTTGGCCACGTCTTCTCCAGCCAATGGTTAGTGACGTTTCTGTCGACATCACGGGCTTCGCCACTTATCTGTCCATAATTTATACCATGCCAAGCTGTTCAGCAAACTTTTCTGCTTTTAATTTTACGATAGGTTCAGAGAGTGGTACATTTTTAAGACGTCGCTGTTGGAACCACTGCAACATTGCCCGATGCAAATCTTCAAATTTTGGCTTTCTTAGTTTTTTACTAGAACTGCCTGCCGCTTCCACCTGAACCATTTTTTCTTTGCACTTCCAAATCGACATCCCACATCACTTTTCTCTTCTCCCCATTCTATCTCCCGAATTAAAGCAACTTTATCATCTAGAGTTTAAATTTTTCGCTTACTCGCCATGCTCGCCGTATTCACTAAGTCACTGATTGCAAGAATGGTGTGCTTTTATACATATCGATAAAGGCATTAACAAAATCGCTTATTACGATAAAAACACTTAGGATGACCAGGTTCTCGGTAATTAGATTATTAGGGTAAGGAATTCTGAGCAGGTAAGAGACTCTATTAATTACAAGTCGGCCTACATTCCTTACTTTGTTACATGATGTGCTTTTTTTTCTTTCGGTGTACACAGCTTTGTATGGAGACCTAATAGTACAACAAATTTTATTCGTAATAGAGAGTTCTGCGTTATACAGAATCTCGCTATAGGGAGTTTTCACTGTAAATGGAATTTTTGAAGTTTGGCATAACTCTCGTTAATTTAAATTTAATTTCTGTTTAATTTGTAATATAGGTTTCAAAAATGTAATTATTTTCTAAATTTTACCTGAATGATTTATCTTATGATGGGTAACCAAACGAAAAAGTAGCATGAACATTATTTTTATAATTTTTCGTAAGTTAAAATCTGTTTTTCCTAGATTGTTAACCTTCATGGGTTTGTATGTCTTAAGTATTGAATTAATTTGTCCATTTTGTGCAACCATTTTGATCTCAATATTAATTATACACTTTACGGAAATTTGAGATATAAAGCACAAATAAAAAAAATAAAACTTAAAAAAAATAAAAGAAAAATTAAAAGATTTAGATTTTTTACTATAGACCAATTTGACTTTTTCCCCTCTTTTTCGCTGAAACAAGACAATTATCTATTGATACAAGGAAAAATAGCCAGGAGGCTTAATTTTATCATTTTTCGCAAATTAATAAATAATTCTATACTACCTTGTTACACAAGAAATTAATATGTCCAATAGTCAGTTATTTCTAGCGTTAATTTGTGCAACCTATCCAATACTATAATACCATATACTATATGCTACGTACAATATACTATATACTATATAATATATACTATATACTATATACTATATACTATATTTACTATAATGGTATAGAATATATATTGATAAAAGCCCAATTAGTATATTACCTCTTATTAAGTTATAAAATATTTAGTCAAGTGGATAAATTAAAAAAAAAACGGAAATATAAATTATAAGATCTATATTTTGTACCGTACTCCAAAAAATAAAGCTTAGCTTATATCCCTTTTGTTTCGTTGTATTATCTATTGACAAAAGAAAAAGCTTTGAAGCTTTTGTTAATTATTTTCTATTCTATACTACTTTGTTAAATTCGCTTATTTTTAACTTTCGTAACTTTCTTTAATTGTTTGTTATTATTTTTCATTCAAATTTTTGGTATTTAAATTTACTGTTACTTTGTCTAACCTATACAAGGCACATCACACCGTATGAAAATTTGTTTTATGGAATACATATTAAGAGAGGTCTAACTTAATGTATTATCTATTAATAAATGAATAAAAAAACCTCATTTTTATATTTTTTCGTAAATTAATCATAAAATTATATAATACTTAAGTGTTTTCCTAGACTGCCATCTTACATGAGTTTCTTTATTTGACATACAAAACATATTGCACATCAAAGTATTGTGATTTTCATATTAAATCGAATTTATTGTTCTTTGTGTGACCTATACAAACAAGGCCAGAAGAAGCTGATGATGCACAATGTAGAACTTTGGGATATAGAACACATATAAGTAAAAGCTTAGCTAGATATACATTATATTAAAGCTAAAATATTGATTAATAAGAATAAGGACAAAATTAGAACATTTAGATTTAGTACCGTAGAAAAAAAAAACTTGCATACTTATTTCTTATGTTCTCTTTTTTGTTGTCACAAGAAAATCCTAGTGTATTATATCGGATTAATTTAAAATATATGTTTAAAAAGTGCAATGACGGTAGATAGCACTAGACAATGTGGTAAGAACTAACCAAAACTATTTCGGTATTGCTATTAAATAAAATATACCATTGGTTTGTTTGACCTGTATAAATGAAGTTGATAAAAGGCATTTTATCCTTAGGCACAAGTATTAGCACCTGATTTACATTCACATAATTGTTCAACAAACTTAACAAGAAATTTGTTTTTTTAATGCAGCTAATTAGCAATTTAAATTAATTTTTGTGACAAATTGTTTTCCTCTTCCACTTGTCATGGATACTTTTCCATTTTCGTACATCAGTTATAAATTACTCGCGGAGAAATTCTTCGATTCATAATGCAGTTTTATATCTCAGTGAAAGTTCACGTAAAAACAAACGGAATCGCCTGGCGAGGTAACAATCTTCATGCAAGTCTCTACAACCAACGCATGAATTTTGTGAAGTAGATATCGTCAATTGGTTTTACACGCGATATTAGGACAAATTGCGTTCGCATTTGGGAGAAGGAATTGACCGGAAGCATTTGAATTGAAAAATAACCGCTAAATTACGTTATCAATGGGTACTTTGACATTGGAAATGCAACTCAATAGCGTCTAATTCAGAGGGTCGCCGTTGTAGCTCGATTGATGCGATTTTATTTTGTGTCCTTAAAAATTAGCTTCGTCCAAATACTGTAAATTCATGCACTGTAATTAATTATCCGGGATTACTGGTAGGACCGTAATCTGGAAATTTGGATGAAAACGCTTAAGTAACAACACATTTTCCATAAATTTAAAAATTGGTTGATTGGCATTTTTAGTAAAAAAAAAAAAATATATAGAAAGTCACCTTGTAGACTTCACGCGATTGAAGTTATGTTACTTTATCGATTACATTGATTGATGATATATATATATATATATATATATATATATATATATATATATATATATATATATATATATATTTAGGATATTTTAGATTTTTTGCCCATAAACGACACACCCTGTATATGATACAATCATTGTTCGAAGTAGAGGCAAGTTTAGGACAGTTAATACATTTCTCATTTAGCACGTAATATCGGAAACACTCTGTACAACAGGTGAAAACCTTAAATACAAAAGTTTTTGCTGTCTACGCGGGCAATATCGCAATATAAAAGAAAGTGAGATCTGAATCATAGTCTTTCAGTTACAATAATAGGGGGACCCATTTTACAGTTTTTTTGAATTTGCGGCGCACCCTGTATATTTTTGAAAAATTGTCAACAACAAAAATTTATAGAGCCGTATCTTTTGCTTCCTCTGGTTCAAGAATTTTTTTGGTGTCGTAAACAGTTTTTTAAAAATGATGTTTTTTGTAGACCTTTGCACGTGCGATTTTTATTTTTTTAGAATACTTCCCGATCCCCCAGCAACCCCATTTTCAATAGGTTTCGTCACGGGACAAAGCTGCATATATGTGCCAAATATGAAGTCGATTGCTTCAAATTTCGGTCACTTATCGTGTTTCATAGCAAGGTCCAAAAAACAGTCGAAAATCGCGAAACAAAGATGAATACCGGCGTCGGATCAGGGCCATTTCTTATAAGCTTATGTGCCTTGTGGAGTGTTAAAAAGGAGGCAAATTTTAATTTTGTAGCTCCAACAGTTCGAAAGTTATTCAGAAAAGACCAAAGGACGAGAACGGAGAACGGACGGTGATCATTTCTGTACCAACGGCGATCCCATAGGATCTACCGTTACCGAGATATAAAATGTGTATACGAGTGTAGATACTTTCGAAAAATTAATTAATTTTAGCGAAGATATTCAGGTAGTTTAGAAATTAAATGTCAACTTGAGACTTTTGAGAACTTTAAGTTAAATACACAGCACACATAATAACACTATTGATTTCAAATGATAAGGATATAAATAATCTCTAAAATAATTGAGTGAGGAACATCGTATAACTCAGAATCAGTAAGATTAGTTTATCTTCTAAGGGATAATCACCGAATAAATACCTATAGCACTTAATTGTCTAGGTTTCCTGACTGATTTTTGTTGATCATAGCTTTTTATCTGCAACGTAATTTTTTTATAAGTGAAATGTTATAAATAACTGGATGTCTATATTCCAAACTTGCTTGCTGGGTTCCAGTTTAAATATATCGATAAATTTGGATATATTTAATGGTTTACAAAACATCCGCAAGTATTTGGAAACTATTTGCTTTATTACAGGTAATCAGAAGGCAAGCAAAATGCCGGTAAAGCAATGGTTTCAAAAACTGCAGCCCGTCCAGCTTTACATAGTATTAACATTCACCGTCGCATTTTTCCTGACTGAATTGGTAGTAAGTCACCTCACGCATGCACTGACGTTGCTGATGGATTCTTACCACATGCTTTGCAACATTATGGCATTGACTGGTTGCATAATCACAATCAAGGTAAGTGAAAACTGTTTTTTGTTTTTCATTATCACATTTTCACGGTGAACTATATACATTAGTTAAAGAGCTGCAAAAACTACGGTGAAGGCTACGTCGTCAAAAATAACTATGTCAAACATAATATATACATTGTTTAGATAGATAGATAGATAGATAGAGAGATAGGTAGATAGATGGTTTATTGACTACTTTACAATATCATTGTTTGTAGCAAGTCATACAAAGGAAAAAAAATTGAGTTGAATATTTAAGTATATGCTAACATAAAATTGTATATTACGTCATAATATACTAAATCTAGATATACAATGTATATAACATCACAATAACAGGACAATAAATCAAAAAATTAATTTATATGTATATAACACAGAACAATCATTAAAATACAATCAATGCACAACGCCCCGCAACACGTCATTACCGATGTTTTCGTCAAAAAAATCACCAACGCTATAATAGCCCTTACTTAGAAGCAAGCTTTTTATTTTTTTTATGTTTAAAATGTTTTTCGTTTAAATGTTTAAAAGATTTTGGCGATGCGTTATAAAGAGTGTGTTGTTTTGATTTCTGCAACCTGTATCTCGGAAGCACGAGATTATTTGCACTCCGGGTGTCATACCTATGAAAATCAGAACCCCTCGGCAAACTATCGGTCTTGGAGTGTATCTCAAGAACACTTTGAAATATAAATTTACATGGAACCCTCATTATTTTATGTTTAATAAACAATGGCTCACAGTGTTCGTTAAAATTTGAATTTGTAATTATCCATGGTGCCTTTTTTTGCATCTTAAATATTTTAATGGCATAAGAGGAGTTACCCCACAGTATGGTGGCATAGTTTATACGCGAGTGAAATAAACCAAAGTAAGTTGATTTCAATACATCAATACTCACCATTCTGCGAAGTTGACGCAAAAGAAAATGAATATTTGAAATATTTTTACTTAGCTCGCCAATGTGTTGCTGAAAGCCATGCTTTGGCCTTAGATAAAGTATATGTTTCAATATTACTTAGGGTTGTGATGTTCCTGTTTGAATTAATAAACGTTGTGTCGTCAGCAAACAGCACAATCTCAATATCAGGCATCATGTACTGGCAAATATTATTTATGTATCTAATAAAAAGGAGGGGTGTCAGAACGGAGCCCTGGGATACTTCAAACTCAACGCAAGCCGAATCAGACTTTATGGTTCTTATCTTATCTTATCTTATCTATCTGTTAAATAGGACTTAAAAAGTTTGAGTGGAACACCACGCACTCCATAAAATTCAAGCTTGCTCAAGAGAATCTGATGAGAAACACAGTCGAAAGCCTTTGAGAGGTCGCACTGTGAAATAATTAAGTGTTCTCCCCTTTCCAGGCCCCAGACTATGTCCTCCACCACCCTCATCAAAGCTCTAGTTGTGGAGAACTTGCTTCTGAAACCAAATTGGGCAGAATCAAGTAATTCATTAACTTCAACAAATTTATATAACCTCTCTTTTAACAGGATTTCAAAAACTTTAGAGAAAACAGCAATGATAGAGATAGGACAATAATTATCGATCATCTGAGGGTCTCCTTTTTTAAATATTGGCGTTACTTCATAAATTTTAAAAATACTTGGGAATATTCCTTCAGTAAAACAACGATTTATCAAACTAGTCAAAGGTTCCACCAAAATATCCGCGGTCTCCTTGAGTATTCTGCTATTCAAGTCAAATGCATCAAGCGCTGATGAATTCTTTAAGTTCATTATTGTTGAAAAACTTCTTCAGGGGTCGTAGGAAACAAGTAAAAAGAACAATCTGGTGCCCTCAAACCCTTTAAAAAACAAAAGCTGCCCAATGTTAAAATTGGAAGATACACATTTCTTATATTTATTTAATATTATTTAATCATTTATTTATATTCACTCCATGAAAAAAGTGGTAAAGAATGTTTATGTTTTCAATGGGAACGAGAATTTTTTTTTTCCACGGTATTCAGAACTTCTGAACCAAACTAAATGTCTCGAGATGATTTTTCAACTGTTTAACTTCTCTGGAAAGTGAATGTAGGGACTTATGGCAGCAGAAGTTGTTTCTAGTTCTATATTTATGGTCACATGTTAAAATAAAAATAAAATAAAAAATCCATCAACATCTGGAAGTACAAAAAATCTACGTAGAACCTTGGTGTCGATCAAAATCGTACGAATGACACTGAAGGAATGAAGGCTAATCAACCAAGCAGGCGTATGCAGCGTTTATGTAAAATATGCCTGCATTTCCTTTGGAGTTGGACGCAAATACAAGCAAAATAATGTCTTTTCAAAGGCTGACCAACTCCTTCAGCTGGTGAGAGATCGCTAATGTCGGGGAATTTCTCTTTCAATGTATTGTCAAGTTGGATCCTCAATCGCTAAAGATTCAGGTTAAGGGAACGAAAACAACGTATGCTTCTTTTCACTCAGTAAAATTAAGTTTCAGAGAGTCCAAAGAGCACCACTGATTTACGGTGAGCAAAGAGTTTTACGTGTCAACTCATACAAATGAGGTCAGTTTGACGTAATGGATAAATAGATGATGAAAATCAAAAAAAGTAAAGGACCCAAATACGACCCTGGAAGGACTCCTGTCGTAGAAACAAAAACTTTAGACTTATAGTCTCTGCATTTAACAAAGAGTTGCCTGCTTTTGAGATACGATATTTTGTCCAATAGTCTGGAACTTACACAGTAATATTTACTAATAGATTTGCTCAAACGCTTTCTGAATATCTATGTATACAACATGGGACATGTCGGTTTTTTTCGGTTTTTGAGTAATATATACAAGCTTAGTAGTGGGTCTTCATATCTCCCGATAATCTTTAATGTTTAAAAGATGCACTTACGAGGTTAGCTCCAAAATTTCCGGGCCTGACAGTGATGCAGCTCCAGTATCACGATAAAACTTTGTCTTCTTTTAAATATGTATCTTAGTAGGCTGCGAAAAAAAAATGAAGTCTTGCGTCAAATAGATTTTTTATTGACAGCATTTTAAACAAGACGTGTCCGAAAAAATGTCGCAAATAACGCAAATTGAGTATGGAGCAGTCATAAAGTGTTTGACAAAAGAGGGGCTAGCACCTAAAATTATTAAAGAGAAGCTGGATGGTGTGTACGGCCAAAGTTCTCCTTCGTATTCTGTAGTGAAAGAATGGGCAAAACATTTTCGAATGGGATAGGGGTACCTTGAAGATGATTCAAGAACTGGTCGACCAGTGGAGGTCATAACGGTAGATATTATTGCGATTATGGAAGAGGTGGTATTGATTGATCGACATTTAAAGGTCAAGGAAATCTCAGAAATTACTAAGCTTTCTGCTACAAGTGTTCGTCGAATCCTGCATGATCATTTAGATATACATAAGGTTAGTGCAAGATGGGCTCCTAAAAACATTTTGGCTATTCAAAAACAACGCCGTCTCGAGTGTACGCGGTTTTTTTTTGGAACTCTGTTGTGGGTCGGAACCGAAGCCTGTGATAGATATTTGAAAAAGAACTTACGTGGACGGCGATTTAACGACGAGGCTGTTTTAGCTCATTTTGCAGACAAACCGAAAGAATATTTTTTTGAAGGATTGACTTGTTAATAAAGAGATGTAATCAGTGTATTGAAGTTAAGGCACTTTGTTTGTTTCAGGCCGGGAAATTTTGGTGCTGCCCTCGTATGCTATCTTTTAAAATGCAAATTGATAGATGTTAAAGTCAGTATTATACCACCGATATGCAATGAGAACTCTCAGGACATCCTTGTGCCTAGATAACAATGCATGCAAGCAATACAAGCATAGTAAACAATTACTAGTGCCTTGTGAGTGGAGGAGTTTTATAAAGGACTTAAAATTAAAAAAGTCTTAAAGAGGGTCAATGTGCTGACACCAAAAATGTTTGCCATCAATTGTCAATAAACAATTTAATAGGGTTGCTAATTGATAATGATATTTTTATTCAGTGATTCGAAAATCATAATTTGTGTGGCACAGAGTTAGACAGCATTTTCCTGATGCGACAGTTATTGTATGGTCTCAATACTGGAAATATATTCTGGTAGATTATCTATAAAAAAAAAGGGAAATTCAGGATCTTTGGAGTACCTTCCTCTAAATTTCTTACTTTACTGAAGAAAAGAAGAACTGCGATAAGAGATTATGCACTAATTTAAATTATTTGGCAATCTAATTTGCTTGAACAAATTGTAGCAGCACACTATGTATCCACAAAGTAAAATTAAATTCTAAAATTATCACTGACCGTGCTCGTCTTGCATACAATTACCCATTCTTAGAAATTTATACCCGATACCATACTATTTGGAAATTTTCCTCAACAACAACAACAAACCGAATTTGAATATTAAATCAATAAACATATTTTGACTCCACCGATTTCTTCCAAATTCGCAATCGATTTTGACAAGATCGCAGTTTGGGTTTAGAATATGTGACATAAATCAAAAACAATGTCAACGCAAAATAACATCCTGTTAAGGAAATGGCCGTATCATTGTTTTTCAATAAAAAACAAAACAAAAACAAATAGAACTTTTCAGGTTCATAGAAAATACGCTGTTTGAAAATAAATAAAATGAAATAATAGAAATTTCTTAAAATTTAATCAAAACTTTGATGGGCGTCCATTATTTGTGCCTTAAATCATATTGGGATCCAAAAAATGACTTTCGCATATGGATGACCGCCTTTTTTATAAATTATTTCTAACCTAAACAACGAAATATATTTTTTAATAGTAGCCATGGCGACAAATTATTTGTTGAAGTATTTGAGAATTATACATTATGAATGCAAAAAGCGTCGTTTACGAAGTAGTACTATACTTGCTCGATAGTTCCATTCATCAACTTTGAAAAAATTGTGGTTGTAGATACTGGGATAAATTAGGTAAGTCATAAAATAAATTTGCCCGCAAAATGATTTCAGTCTGAGTCGTTTGTGAGGACTTCGAGAAAATATAAAAAGCTGCAT